ATGTCCACGTTTCATTAATAAATTGTGCGCCAAAATCAATTTTCGACATTTTCCTTAAGTCTCAGAGATAAGACAATGAAAAAAACAAAACACAATGTTTATGGTATATTTAATAAACATAAAGCTATTTTGGGGATGGAATTCCTTTGTGCGGAATAGCGACTGAGCCCCGAGGGTGGCAAATGAAGAAAAACAAAAGCCCCCATTAGGGCTGCTGCGGCCTTTGACAAACAATGTCACATAAAACAACTGGACTTTAGGGTTTACAATTTGCTGCTGAGAAAAAAAAAACAAACTTTATTTCTACAGAAGCCAGCGGGCTTCTTTGGCCTTCAGACATATCGTCAGGAACTGAATGTTGTAACTGACGCGAGGTAAATCTTTTAGAGCAACGTATTTTCAGTTTATCACTTTATGTCTTCAGCTATAACTCGTCCGAAACTCGTTACTTGAAATAGTTATAGTCTCATACATAAAATACGTGCAGAATTTTGCTTTTGAAAGCTGTGTATTACCACCTTCAAATTAGAGGCGTGTCACTACACTGAAGCTGCAACTGCGCTTTCAGAATAAATATTCTGAGTAACAGTAGAGCTCTCCGGACAGATATTTGTTATCTACGTATTATGTTTACTCCAGAAACGAAATTACACTATTTTCCACTAATTATTTTGACAGCCCTGGCAGGAAATACCTTTTTTCCTGTGTATTACGGCATTTGCAATTAATCTGGCGGTTCCGAGGCGTGTGTAAATAATCTGTTGCTTTTGGCTCCATTCTGAGTGTTGAAGTACCGCCATTATGTGTGGTTATTTAGTGCATGTGCACTTCATGTCGCTCTCGACCTCATTATGGCTGGGAATATGTGTGAGATTATTACATACGAAGTGTTTTCGAGATTCAGAACTGTCTACCACATATTAACTTTGATAATAGTAAATCTACTCGTATATCTATATAATGTGTGCATTACTGCATTTTAGGTTTGGAGAGTAAATGTGCTGGTGAAAGTAGACACAACTTCATTGTCTACTTTATGTCTTACTCATTCAGATCTTTGCGATTAAAGCTCTGAATGACACTGCAACTGTTACGGGTAGATGTATCGCTTAACACCGGGAGCACGACTTGTTCGTCTCGTCACGTGACTGCCACCACTATCCGAAAATGCCCCCAAAATGAAAATGCTACCCCAAACTGACCTCTAAACTCCTTTTCAAATACAGCTCCCCATGCTGTTGCGAATGCATCTCAAAAGGGAAATATTTCAATCCGTCAAGAGTCTTATCACGGGTTTTTTTACCTTCTGCGGTATAAAGGAATGCTAACATTTATAGAGTGTAAAACGAAGTGAGTCTTACAAAAAAAAAATCTTAGGCGCACAACCTGCTACATACCATAACGAATTCAATTATGCTAAAAACGTTTTGGATGAATTCGTACTTGAATTGAAAAATAATGTATATATCAAAACTTTGATGAAATTGTTTCATAGTTTGTCAAAAAAAAAAACAAAAACATAATTCGAATATTTGTATCTGTCGCCTACACTTCAATAATAGTGACCCAAACCAAAACAGTTAATTTTTCCATTTATTACACAACTTTATTCAGAATGTGTACAATTTTACTATAAATAAAATACCAAGCTTTTCATTCATAAAAATAACACGGTGACTACATTGAACAAATTGATCGGCTTTGCTAAATGACACTCGAAATATACGCCAAAATTTTGTAAAACCATCTTTTTGATGGATTTTTGAGAGAAACCGCTATTTTAGAAAATCATCGTTATGTACGTACAAGATACCGATCACATAATCGATCTTCAAAGCATTATGACTCTTTTTGTCCCTAAAATATCACCACACCGTCCGCAGTGGCTATTTTATGAAAGGCTAATTAGGGTATGATCACTACACCTGTGATAAATTGATAAAGTTTGTCACGAATTAATTACTCACTTAGTAATCACTAGGGGATTGTGACATGTGACACTTGAACCCGACGCGTCAGTTTGTACAACACTGATTTATCGTTTCACCCTGGACAGGGGGCAGTTGAAAGTGGAGATAGATTCATATTGATCATTAGCACGAGTCATGTACACAAGATAGCGCAAGCTGTGTCTATATTATATTCGTAAGTATATTTCGCCTATGTTTTCTTCACGAAGTAGGATTAACGAAACTATTCAAAGATTAAGACTTAACTTCCCAAAACTTGGTAGACCGGTTTAAGTTATGATATTGGTACGGGTTGATACGTCCATAAAGAAAGTATTACATTTATGCGTACTATAGGTGCGTATTTACCAAGTGTGTAAGTGTAGTATCCAGGAATTCCACCAGCCACCAGACACTATTGAAGATCTCCCAGAGAAGCCCTTTGTAATCATAGTTACTGGCCTTCTACATGATCACTTACATAATCACGTGAACCGTCTCATCTGCTCTTCCATATTCTCAAATACCCTGTCTCTGTCAGTGAGTTTTATGGAGTAGAAACTGGAAATTATTAATGATAGAAGTACTAAACACCTTCAAACGTAAATTGCACTATCCTACAACGCCAAATTGTAAAATGGCGATGCTTGTACATCCTACTACTGTTCTAAGAATATTTCTGTACTTGGACTTAATCGCTTTTTGATTTTAGGGTGAATGAATTTCGTCTCACTGATATTCTATAACGAATAATGTTCTTTTGATTGCGTTCACCGCACGTCGTTTGTTAATATACTCGTAGACGAACCGTGTCAAAACGTAATTGAAATCTGCCCACACGTTTTTGTTTGAATTCTTATAACTCCTAATATGAATGTTGTACGTGTGTTGTATTTTACATCTCTGTACGAATTGTACTAGGAAATGAACTTACACATTGTATCGACACTATTCATAATTGGGTACGCATCTTGAACATAACTTCATGCGCCATCAATGTTTAAACTTTAGCCCTTAGGGTATCTAACTACACATTCTTCACTAATCGGCTTATTTAAACGATTAACGTCGTAGTAATGGTCACGTGATCGCCGTCGTTACTTTATTGTGTCGTCGCCATGCCGTCGGGACAAATTGAGTGTCACCCGGTGTCAGCGAGGGACAACGTTATTACAGCTTCCTTTGATGAAATACTACAGGTATATACCTATATGTTATGTAGGAGCTGACGGCTCATAAATTTTAGAGAAATGGACGCGCGTAAATTTTCGTTCACACAGCCACGTCATTCATTCATTTTATACGCGTATTTAAGTAAGTTTATATTACTAATTCATAGAGGGACGTACAATATCTCGATATACAAACTTCAATAGCACAAGAGCTCTTTCTGAAAGAGTACGTCCAGAGCAGCACTGCCACCTTACCTATTTCTGCCGCCGAGCAGTAATGTGAGCATTACTGCTCTCCGATTTTGAAAGGTAAGGGTGCTGGTGAAATTACAGGCACATGTGACTTGTCAACTTATGCCACAGTGGCAGTGCCCCTCAGAACTGCTATGGACAGTCCTATCGCTTACAACCATGCACATGACTTGTTCATCCCGTCACTTTGGTATCATAAAAAAACTTACTACGGACTTTTAACCGTGAATTGCAAACAACCTTGAGTAGCTTTTTTCGTCTTATTATTTTGCAATCAGATTCCATGTTGAACGAGATTCGAGATGCTTTTCAACGAACAACAAAACCTTCTATATTTGAAATATTATCTTTGCTGACTTAAAGAAATCTGCAGGTACAAATTAGTAGCAGCTGGTAGCAAAAATCCGGAAAGACGAGTAATTCGACCAAACTGGACACCGCTTGCATTCGCAAACGTGGCTTTTTAATTAGTACGCGGTGTACCGTTCGGGATATAAATCTTAGTTAATGTCTGTTCAGTCTGAGGGACCCATGTGCGTTGGCTAGGTGCACAGTCGTAATGTAGAGAATACCAACATGCTTTCCACTGATGAATGTAAATTCCGCACCTGTGTTCAGCAACTACTGGATTAGCCGATATGTTTGAGAAGCCTTGGCGCATATATTATGAAAGTTATACGTATATACGTTGCTCTAAATTAGTACAACTTTACAAGAATTCTATACATGGCATTTGGACTCACAAACACATGGAGGTTAGTTATTTCGGAAAATGTTCTCTTGAAACCAGATGTCGTATGTTTATGCTGGAGTTCTGCACAGGATGTTCCATGGATGTATACCGTCACCAGAGGCACTGACCTTAATCAATTTAAACATTACTCGTAGACTGCCTACATTCCTCACCCCCAAAACATTAGTTTAGTAGCCGAGCTAATCTAGGAAAATATAATCCATTGAACAGACTCATGTATTTCATATAAAAAAACGCCACGAAGTTTATTCGCAAGTGCAAGCAAATTTTTTGATCTTCACATTCGTCGTTTTTTTTCTAATATGAAGTGACGGGACGAACAAGTCGTGCGCCTGATGGTAAACTTCACGCCTATCCATAACAGTTGCAGTGAGCTTTAAGTCTCAAAGATGTGAGGGGCACTTTCACTGCGCCCGTCACCCTGAGGTATAAGTTGACATGTGCCTGTAATTTCACCAGCACCCTTAACCCTTTAAAACCGGAACATAGTAATGCTGACATAACTGCTTGGCTGCAAAAATGGGTAAGGTACTACCCTGGACGAACTCTTTCACAAGGCACTCCGCTGCTACTAATTAATTAATGGTGTGATTTTATAACTTTGTATTCCATTGCTTAATTCTATTTTTTTTGTGAACGTATTTCTATCATTTTCTATGATTGTTTTGTGTTACGTTGATGATGTATCTTAGCAATAAATAAATAAACATATAAAACTGTAACTAGTAGTGTATAATAATAATATAGTCTATTTCCTTCACACACAACTCTACAACAATATTTTACATATTATCGCATTTTATGTATTTATCTCTATATTTCATCGATGTGAATACTTTGAAATTAAAGTATGTGTTTTTGTTTTGGTTTCAGAAATGCGACCTTCCTGGAGCCCCATCTACAAGGCGTGAGGCGTCGTGATAGTCGAAGTTCAGATTCTGATCACGATGAACGTTCCACCGAAGACGACGAGCGGTGCCTTATCCGCAGCTCACCCCGTACGAGGCTACCCCCTCCACCTCCACCCCCGCCAGACGACGAGCCTCCCCCACTGAAACCCAGAGAGTTCTTCGAACGTCTTCAGAGCCAAGCGATGAAAGAAGCTCAGGAACGAAAAAGGCCAAGAGACCTGCAGCTCAAGAACTCCAGTCGGCTGTTCAGGCCAGTTGACGCTGATGGCAGTATTGGAGACAGCCTTAGTCAAGTAAGTACTTAAATTTTCGTCAACCATTTTTATCTGTAGGTAGCACTTATTAAAAGTAGGTTTATCACCATTTCCAGCACAATTTCTATTGCAAAGTCTACAAATAAATTCCAGTTTACCTGTGAAGTTGGGGCGAGTTGAAACTTTTAAATCAGGAATCCCGGTCCCTTCCATTCCGACTAATGAACCGTACCGCGATCCTGTTTAGTTTTTTAGTTTTGTACTCCGAGACTTATTCCAACTCCACGTTCTGTTTTATACGGTTACGTTCTATTTGCATATCGGATTGAGCGAGGTAAGGCATTTCTTTAACGAAATATTGCATTGAGTTTGAATTACATTTACTGTTTATTTATGAGCATGCAAACGGATGTATTCTACAAGTTGCCGGCGTCTTCGCGCTTCCATTTTCATATGAAAATGGAAGCGTAATGGCCGGGAGTAACATTACAGGAGCGCAATATTTTTCAATTCTGAGACCGGAATTAAATTTGCGGCATGTCAATAGGCGTTTTGCGAAAGAGCTGCAGCGTCTTCTTTCAGACACATTTTGCAATAAAGTAGTCGTTGTTATTTGGCTGTTGTTCCATTTCTGGCTACATAAAATATGCTTCGGCGTATTAGATAGAATGCAGTATATAAATATTTTAATGACATCTATAGTCAGAGTTTTTATTCAGAAAATGTATTATTTAACTGCCTCCGTGGTTCGATTCCCGGGCCGGGGGAAATATTTGTATTGCCTACATTTATGTCTCCTGTGAGTTTGGATGTAATTTGTGGTTGTCTATGTGTGTGTCCATGACACGCGCGACACGGAGTTTCCCTAGTACGGGGCTATATTGAGTGTGTGCGTTGTTATTATTATTATGTTAATATTGTACCAATAACCTTTTGGAATCTTGAATTTATTGATAAAATGTGAAAAGGTTTTGTGTGGATTCTTAGGTTTTCGCGATTGCTACACGTTGGAAATTAAACTATTTTAATAGGATCTAAATCGCGTATATTTATATACGTTTCGTACTCTTTACAGGTCGTATGGTCACAGTTGATATCTGTCATAGTTTCATTTACAGTAAACTCCAATGGTTTCCACATAAACACCATGGCCAGCAGATTAAGCTCTGCTGCATAGGCAGTCAGTACTGCTAGACCAGTTTACTTTAGTTACTTCCATAGTATAATATCTTATGGTATTCTCATGTGGGGTAAAGGCAGACATACAAACCATATTTGTGTTGCAAAAACGAGCGATTCGTTCTGTGTACCGATTTCTCTCAGAGAAAAGTTTAGGGAGACTGGTATCATGAGTGCCCGTAAAAATATACCTAATATCGTTAAGAAAAAAGATATCCATAATATTAACCTTAGAACTAAGTCCAAACTCACGGTACCACGTCATCGTTTAACTAAGGTAAACGATTCTTTTATGGGGAACTGTATACGTTTTTACAATAAGATTCCGGAGCATAATATTAAGTTTACCATTTCCTAAGTTTAAAACTTACATTAAAAGTATTTTAATTGTAAAGTCATATTACAAAATTGTAGACTATGTGTTAGATAAAGATGTATGAAAAGACAACTTGAGTCTAGATTGCACACAAAAATAATTCAAAATGTATTCTATAGCACTTAAGTTTATTTGAAAAGAGCAATCCCTAGAGTTTCTTGCTTGTTCTTCTCAGGGAGGTCAGCGTAGTGAAGAGCAGTAGCTTAAAAAATGACGTTTTCAAGTGTAAAAAAATTTACCTTTGGAATAAATGATTATTTGACTTTTACTTCGATTTCCAATATTTTAGATTAAGATAATATTAATTTCTGATTTTCTTTATCTGTGTACAAATAAAATTTGGTATTCTATTATAATAAGAAAAACAAAAACAAGGTCCTAATCAAGTGTTGCATATCAATTGCCATGGTGACACTTTCATAGCAATTACATAAAATGAAAACATCAAATCTGCGAGGAATTCCTCATAATGTGTAATTTTTATTCATTTCATTCAATTAATAATAATCTTTATTGTAAATAATGATAGTAATATGTATCGGCTGTGCGTTCTGAAAACAGATGATGACGCACTGAAAGTGTATTTTATATATTTTACAATGTATATTCGCCAGTAAAATATAGGATAGAAAACACTAACATTTGGACATATAGGAACAAGTATTTTTGTATGAAAACGGATTTTAAGAAATGCTTCAAGCTTTATCGAGGCAACCTAGTTGGGAGACAACCTACTTGTCTTATTGTGAGGTCTTCCTTCTTAAGGTCGATTTTCGACTGTAACACTAATGTCCACTTGCAACAAACTTAAATACATTTAAAACCAATGCTTAAATTGATAATGAATTCTTCTCTCTTTTGCATTGCAAGCATTGGTTTAAGACGTACTTACGTATGTTTAGTGCAAGTGGACAGTCTCCGAAACACGTGCAGCTTAGCCTGCTGTTTATCAGTTTTTTCAATAGTTAAGGAAGACTTTATGATGAAATTATGTTGGAGAAATTTCACAATGCTCCTAGAAGACGTGAAGACATCGGAAGTAAAAAAAAACACATTTTAGTCACTTTTCAGGCGCAACATAATGCATAACGTGCAATACCACCAACAATAACACGTCTCTAGCAATTTATACATTCTCACATAGGTGCTTTACAACTCTACTATAACTCTCACTTCACCAGCCCACCCAGTACACTTTGCCATTGTTTCCCGTGCATTTAGCGACACAATATTTGCGTTCAAAACACGTTGGCAGACGGTGACAAGTGTACTCGAGGTGTTACTCCACGGGCAATTGCGGCGTTGCTTTGTGAATGCTTGAAATCCTACCGAACCCTTCCGAGCTCGAACACCTTTGTTGGTTCAATGACGTTGAATTTATATGTTCTGTTTTGTTTTAACCGTTTAACTTTGTTGAAATCGCGTTTTTAATCAAGTCTATAAAGTTAAGTGAGCCCGCTTGGAGGCTAGGAATGCTAAAACACCAGTTAGATGATTCAATGAAATAAAATGTACTAGAGGAATGATTTCAGATCAATCAATAGCTGACTTGGTTAGGGATTGGTTACTGATAAATTAAGAACTAAATCTCACGTGCAATTGAGAAGTCTCATTTGCCTGTAATTTCACCAGCACCCATCGAGTATATAACCAGAGATAGAGACGAAATGTCATTTAATTTGTTTGAAAACTATTCTGCCAAATCATTACGGTGCCAACTGCGCTCCGATTGGCCATCCCAAATTCGAAACAATTGAAAGGTGTCGTCAATGGTTTCACTTCAAATCGACCAGTTTAACTTGAGCTTTGCTATAATGGACGAAAATCTAGTAATTACACATTTAATATTTAATTACTGATGAAATGTGATTCTGTTTGTTTTGTAATTAGATGTTTTGCTGCTTTTCCCACACCACCGAAAGGAACAGCCCCCCATAGTTAGAAATATTATCTTTATTACAATAAAATACAGAATATTTTTGGAATATACGGAGACGTACATACAGGTTAATTGTTGGCGCTGTACTATTTCAGGTTTCTAATTAGTGATTTCATGCAAACGAGAGTTGATATTTAAAAGTGATATAAGGCCTATTTGTCTGATGAGTTGCCAGGGATAGAAGGCCCTTATTTCATCTCTAGTTCTGGTTATATATTCGAAAACCGAAACACTGTAATGCTCACATCACTGTTTGGCGGCAGAAATAGGTAAGGTGACAGTACTTCCCTGGACGAACTCTTTTACGAGAAGCTCTGCTGCTACTACAAGTTTTATTATAGTTTTATTGTAATAGTTTCATTTTTCTCAATTTCATGTCCGTTTAATTTTTTGACGATACCATATACCATAACGACATCAAACTCTCTTTCCCTAGACCATGTCTTGTCATTAATAATTTCAATAGGTATTAAACCTTAACCATTAAATAGGTATTTAAATACGTCATTTAAAAAAACCACGCTCTGCTTACAAACACCACTTTGAACGATCACAAAGCTTAAAATTGCGGTTTTCCTTTTCACGCTTTGTTGCTTTGCGACATTTATGGAGAAAAAGGGACCGAAACAACGTTACTATGTTTGTACACATAATCACATTTGCTAAGTATGCTACTTAGTTACGGTACTTGACGATTGGTTGGATATCCAAAAATGGGTACTGCGTACTATACCATATGCGATTTCCAGAAATTATTCTTACATTAATGTATGCGGTAACAGAATATTCGGTAATTTTATATATATATATATATATATTGTAACTGAACCTATATATATATATATATATATATATATAAATAAAATAAGTAACAAGTAAATAAATATTAGACAATATCACATTCGTTGCTCTGATCCCAAAGTAAGTAATTAAAGGACTTGTGTTTTGGAAATCGGAAACCACAAACACCCAGGCCCAAGATAATGTAGAATAGTTATTTTTCTTCATTGACCTGACCGGAATAAACTCGGGATCTCAGAGATGGTGTCACCATGAAAACCCGTGTGCAAGTCACTCGACGACACAGGTCGCCAAAGTTGTAATCTTTTTAATGGTAATGTAACTCCCTGTATTATGAGTATCAGATCAACGGGATTCACTTCTGAGCGGTGCGAAGAACACCGAGACCAGAGACAATTTAGAAAAGTTAATTTCCCAGATCGGAAACTACCGGAAATCGAACTCGGGATTTCCTCATCCAACGCCCAAAGTGCAAACCACTGGACCACCGAAGTCGTCATACGCCGTCTAAATCAATAATTCAATAAACATTTGTAATGAAATGTGCGTACATTTGCGAATTGAAATATGCATATTTCGAACTTGTCTACGTTGAAAATGGTTCATAGTTTCAACTTTCTAATTGAAAAAGGGATAAAAGATAATAAAAAAAACATTATTTTTTATTATTAATTACACTTTATTGCTTATACGTAGCTAGCAACACAACATAGTTAGCACAAAAGTGGCATTATTGCTAACTTG